TGGTTGAGTAAGAGAGATTATTGGACAGAATTAATTGATAGAATAATCCGAGATCAAAATATGAAACCGGATTATTTTGAGATTATCTATGAAATTAGAGTTACTTAGTTGCTACAGGACCCACAAAAGATCAGATTATTTCGGGATGATGGTTGAAGGTAATTCGGAGGGGATGAGATTATTTCCAAAACATTTATGTGGAAAATTTTAAAAGGTAAGAGTCACAAATAATCAGATTATTTTAAAATTATGAATGTGGATGCTCTAACGTGGAAAACAGTTGTACACATCATTGCCCCTGCAATCAATTAATATTAGACTTCCCTTTACAAACAATTTATATTAGTCAATAATTGAGGTTAATAAATTGGGGTAATCTTTTTTGGTATACGTTTGATCAATAATATCAAGGGTTTGATTTCATTCTCATTTCTCTCTTGGGACTTCATCCTCACCGGAACTCTCCCCTATACATATATATATATATATATATATATATATATATATATATATATATATATATATATATATATATATATATATATATATATATATATATATATATATAGGTTTTGGTTCAAATAAGAACATGATCTTATGAGAAAAATGAGAACGAATATGGACCGTTAGATTTGCTTTATGTGAAATTCAATGTGCATTAGATGAAGCTGCAATGTGTATTAGGTGAAATTGAAATGTGCAGCACAAAATGTACGATGTAATGGCATTATGTGAAGTTAAATTGTGCATTAGGTGAAATTGAAATGTGCACTAGATGAAACTAAAATGTGCATAATAAAAGGTACGATGTAATGTTGTTTTTGTATGTTTTATTCTGCACATTTTAGTTTCACCTAATGCACATGTGAGTTTGAATTTTTATTCTGCACATTTCAATATCATCTAATGCACATTTCGCTTTCACCAAATGCACCATTCAGTTCCACATAATTTAATCCAACGGTCCAGATTCGTTCTTATTTTTCTCCTAAGATTCGTTCTTACCGGAACCGCTCCCTATATGTATATATATATGTATATATATATATATATGTATATATATATACGTATATATATATATATGTGTATATATATATGTATATATATACATATATATGTATATATACATATATATATAATATATATACTCCCTCCGTCCCATTTATTTTGTCCCGTTTTACCTTTTCGGGAAGTCCCACTTATATTGTCCCATACCATATTTGGCAAAGTTTGTGTGGCTCTAAATCATTCTTACTTTATTCTTACTTTATCAATTAATATCAACCACACAAACCCACTTTTCTTAATAACCGTGCCACCCTGTTCCGGGACAATATAAATGGGACGGAGGGAGTATATATAAAGATTTTGCAGTAACCCCTTAATTTCTATAAAGTACTACCTCCGTCCCGATTTGATGATCTTGTTTCTTATTCACTCAGTCAACACAAATCACTCTTAATCTCAAACATGTATCAAATTTGATTTTTCTTTTTGTGACTTTGTGAAACTTTTTAATGTAGATTCTAAATATGTAAATTTTATTTATTAAAAGTAAATTGAGTGTTGATAGGGATTCGTTTGCTTTATCATCGGTCAAATCTCGTAAACCGCAATCAGACCATCAAATTGGGACAAGGTGAGTATTTATTTAAGAATGGAGAAGGGGTAATAAGTCCGCCCGTAACCCAATTGGTGAATAGACAAATCTGATACTTTCAACCCCAATTTTGCTGCAATCAAGATATTTAAAGGTGCTATAAAGGGACATGGCACCCTCTATGGCGAGAATTGGCCGCTTCATTCACGGGGGGGGGGGGGGGGGGGGGGGGGGGGGGAAGGTGGACAAAGAGCCTGCTATGCGCCAGAAACATGGGGCAAAAGAAATTAAAATCACCAAACTTATTTAATGTGTTATAACTTTTTTTTATTTATACTCCATTTTTTAAAAAATATATCAAAATTCATAAGTTTTTTATAATTTTTCATATGACACCAATATAGCATATGTAAAGCTTAAAAAATAAGTTTCATTTGCTGGAGATTTTGTAGATTTAATTTTTTTGTTAAGTTGAACTAAATGGCAATAATATTTTTATATCTTTCAGTTGATTATTTAAAAACTAGTTCTGAATTAGCGACGAAAAAAATATATATTCCAAATTTATTTATTTTTATATCGGAATGTATGAATTTTAAAATCATTATTATTCACAAAAAACATGAATAAAAAAGTAATGTACTCCATAATGATAAAAGAAAGACTTTAATGAAGAAAAAACTTTGCCGAGTGAATATATTGACAGTGATGCATTACATAAAGAAATTGAATTGACTCAATATGTATAAACTGATAATGAATTAGATTTATTGACGGAGCATTGCGGTTAGCATAAGAAGGGTAAAAACAAATAAACTACGGAGTAAAATGAAAGGGTAAAATGAATCTAATAGATGTGGTACAATTTTAACTCTAGGGAGTTGGACATATGCAAATGCTCTGATGAAAATGATGTCAGTGGGCCATTAATCCCAAAAGGGCCCATGGGACGCCGCCACCTCCACTACAACGTACGAACACAAAAGCTGAGTTTCATGGCTTCATCCATGAGTCCATGACCCCCCGGTGTCCCTATAGTCCAACAATGATGTTGATTCGAGCAAGGTTGGAACTATTGGCCCCCCTAAAAGCTTAAAGCAGCAATGCTATCAGCATTATTCTGATTTTTAGAAAAGGATAACATTATTAACATCTCCTAACTTGTGTTTTAATGCCCTCACATTCATTATTTTGTCCATTTTCTTCCATTACCATATCAAAATAAGCAAATACATGTTCATTTCCTTTTTCACTCTCATCTTTTCAATACTTTTTATCATTACAGATTATTATTATTACTACTACTACTGATACTACTGAGTACTACTTTTTTGTTCGAGATTTTACTACTACTATAGTTATAATATTACAATTATAGCACCTGAAATCAAGCATTTCAGCCCAGCTGGTTGTGAAGTTACCGTGCCTAGTGAGAAGTCTCGAGTTCAAAACCCGCTAGGCACATAAAGGTTCGAAACTCAATGGAGTGAATTTCAGCCCTGATTACTCCAGCTCCCCAGACCCCCCAGAGTAATATATGTTGGAAAAAATGTTAATAAAATCCATTAAATGGTCATTTTGGGGCAATTTTTTGAGTGAGGTCCACTTTCGATTTGGGTCGGGTCAAAGTGATTTCGGATTGTCCTTGCTTAAGGCTACAATTCGATATATGGTACGCTCAAACGGATAATGGGTGAATGAGAAATTGATTCTCGAAGTTCACTCGTTGAAATGGAGAAAACTAGGAAAAGATGGGTTTCTAGTGTGGTTATTTCTCACACTCGAAAACCCAAGGGATTTCCAACCCCTTATAAAGGGAAACCCATTCTAAGGAGTTAAGATTCCTAAGTGGAAAGGCTCTCTTTGCGCGCGCGGAGGGGGGGTGCGAATCAAATCCCGAAAATGGAGAAGAAAAACTGCGACCCGCGTGTGCGGGGCGACCTGCGGACAAGAATGTCGTCCGAAATTCTATCTTTCAAAGATACGATCCAATTTTTACTTCTTCCCGTGATGCTTCTTTTTTCCGTTTCAGACTGCTTCTGATCAGACGAATTAATGCCCAACGTTCTGGTCCATTAATTCTTCATTAACACACAACAAATCCTTCCCTATAAATAGCTAGCAGGTGGTTTGCAACAACACACATTCACAGAACGAACTCACGTTTTTTGAGCTCTAAAACACCTCTAGCACTCTGAAACTCTCCTCTGTGTTCATACTTGTTCGTGTTCGCTGGAACTATTCGTTTGAGTGCTCAACGAATAGCTCGTAGTCATCGTACCCTGGGAAACGGTCATTGCAACGCTCCTAGCACCTAGGGAGGCAACGAATATATATGTTTTAAGGACATCATGTGTAGCACAAGCTTTGACTAATTTCTGCTCTATCTTATTTCTGTTTTTCTTTCTTCATTTTAATTAATTAATTTATTTTAAATAATTTTCCTTATTTTCCTTATATAGTATGGATATATTGAGAGTATTTTGAACCTTGTATTAATCCATTTCTTTCTCAACTAGTTGGCTATATATTTAAATTAATTAATACTCCCTCCGTCCCGCAAAAATGTTCCCGGTTTGACCTACACACATATTAAGGAAATAAACTTACCAGGGGGTAAATTTTACTGTTTCGACACTGTTTGGATACTGTTTGGCACTGTTTGACACTGTTTGACACTGTTTTGATGTAAGATAACTTTCCATTTAGGGAAAGAGGAACTTCTTTTTGGGACATTCAGAAAAGGAAAGCGGAAACATCTTTGCGGGACGGAGGGAGTATGAATTTGTATTGGTTCAAAGGTAAGGAAAAGAAAAGAAATGATTACTTCACTTTATAGGTCAAAAGTTCAAATCATGAGCCCGTTTGGAGAACTCTGTTTTCGGCTTATCAGGCTTATCAGCCAGCTTTTTCACCAAACACGTAACTTTTACTTTCGCGCGCTGAATTGTGTAATAAGCCGAAAAAGTAAGGTTGGAGTTACTTTTCTGGCTGTATTGGCTGAAGTTACTGTAGAGGGTCATTTTAGCTATTTTTACATATAATTTTTTCTTTAATTTATTAATAAAATATATTTTTAAAATATTTTTTTCTTAAATCAGCAGAATCAGCCAAAACAGCCACTCCAGCCAGAATATCATAAATTTCAGCAGAATCAGCCAAAACAGCCGATTTTGGTGCTACCAAACGGGCTCCATATCTTAAGCTTCTCTTTTTTGCTTCTTCTAAGATTAATCACAGGCTTTCAAGACAGACTTTAGAGCGGACAAACCTCTCATTTTCCTTCCATCACTAAATTCGTATGTATGACATCTATTAAAAAATTCAACCCCCTCAATTCTTCACTTGCCCACAACTCTTTTTGCTCTTTATAACCCCTCACTTCTTTGAGTTCTTATCATTCTTCTTCCACCATTATACATTCCTACAACTTTGAACAATATTGGGGCATTAATTAGAGTAGGTCTAGGCGTGAGGAAAATTCAAACACGGAGGTATTTGGATTCGTACACGTACCATCCGCCATAGTCTAGACACTCGAGGTCTCCACGATTCCATATAACTTGGTTATATATATTTATGTTTCTTATGAAAGGTATTATTATTAACATCCGAATTTTGCTATATTATATTGATATGTGTTTATTTGTGCTATATATGATGTCAAAATCCTATTTTTAATTCATGTAAAATCTTTGACCTACACGTATACTACTATGATTTATTGTAGGAATGGTGTCAATATATACTTACATAATACGAAGTATGTTCCACTTTTCTTTAAAATGTTTCATACCGACCATATTTAAAAGGAGTTTCATCATCTTAGATTATGAAATTTTGTTACTACGTATTATAATCCGGTTAGCTCGATATTTTAACCCATAAAAACCCTTAAAGAGAACAAATGCAATAATATGAACTGAATTTAGAGCAATATTGTTAGAGTAAGAGCCCCTTTGCCATATATTTCCATGTATGGTAAAGCTTTGCATTGTGATTAGACTCCAATCCTATACTATTTGGGGATCCAGCAAAATTATACGCAACCCATCATGTCGTGAAACCCAACCACCCAACCTCTTGGGGTGGCATAGATTTCTCGGTACGGTCATGTTTTCCTGTTTCCAATGATATGAAAGAGATTTCATGTGTTTCGCGGAAGAAGATAAAAGACAGTGTCGGAGGGCCTCCTAGCCTTACTATTCCCCGCATTTGCTCAGTGAAGTCGTACAGCTCAACTTCGAGATGGAGGATTATGCTTTCATAGTTTGAATTCTACTCTCCAGGCCAGGCCATCACCTGGAACTCAACGCAATCATCTCACTAAAAATCATTAACCCCCTAATGCTGAAAGAAATTGAAAGAGGGTGTTCTTGATGTGTGGTGAATAATGTTTGAAAGGATTTCTTTTTAGTTTAAATATACATTCACTCAGGGGCAAAGTCAAAACACTCGGTCGAACTGGGCTGATATGAAGGATATTTTTGAAGAAAAAAAATTACACGAAATTTTTTACAATAAAAATATAACCATTTTTAAATTTGGAGTGGACCATGACCCGGGTTGCCCCCTAACTACGCCCTTGCATTCACTCCTTATAAACCATCTTCAAACTAAAGTCTAAAATGCAATTACTTTTAAAGTCTCATCTCTTTCTTTTATATGTCACTTGACGAAGTACCTGTGTGATGCACGGGTAGTCTACAGTAGACTAACAACTTATTAATGGTACTTACTATGCAATTATATAGAAAAAAAGATCATTAGTGGAATTTATATGTTGTAACTTTGATTATACAGTTATACTTATAATTGTAGCTTGCAGGAAAAAGAAAGATGTAGGTCATATAAAAATGAGAAAATTGCCATGGCTAAGACAAAAACATAGACTTTTTCCCAAATTAGGATTTAATGTTTGGTTTTCCCTAAATAGGACTAACCTCACCTGCAGGGGCGGAGCCAGACTTTAGTACTAGGGGGGGGCGAAATACAACATGCATTGAAAAATTATATATAAAATATATTTTATTAAAGAAATTAACAATTTTTTTAAAGAACAAAAACTACTTGAAAAACAGTTCAAATCATCATCTATATTAACTTTAATCAATTTAGCCAAAAAAACAACTGTAATTCTACTTATATTGATTTATTACACACTTTAGTGTGCAAATAAAAATCTACGTCTTTTATATTAAAAAATTGGATGACGTGGTAAGACTTAGAACATTTAAACAATAATGGTTATCTAAAAAACAAACTAGCTAAGAAAAAATATAATGGCTTCTCCTAAGTTGTACTGCATGTGCCGCTAGAAGTATGCCGGCGGCCTTCGATAATGAGAATGAGAATTGAATGGCTTCGATCAACGACCAGAAGAACTTCGTTTCCTATGGGCTATGGTGGAATACTAGGGCCTATATATGGGGGGGGGGGGCAAAAAAAATTGTCATATATAGTAATGTAAAAAAAAACTTGGGGGGGGGGGGGGGCAATGGCCCCCTTACCCATCAACGTACCTCCGTCCCTGCTCACCTGTTTTACCCCTAATTTTATTTAATTAATTAATTGATCTAAATAATTGCCCCCCTTAATTGATCTAAATAATTAGATTGAAAGTTTTCCAAAGTTACCTCAAATCTCTCTTGGTCGGATTCCTCGTCAGAGATAGCCATAAGACATAGACCTGAATGGTTGGAGTTCTTATCACTTTCTTCGTCCTCATCATCGGATGAGTCTCCCAGGCTGCCATCATTGCCTTCTTGAGATCTCTATTAAACCCTTTATCTTCTCTAAACCTCCAGTTGGAACTTGACTTGTTCTTGTCATAGATTCATTCATTTTTCTTTTGTGGACAGTCTTTAGCCCTGTGCTCAAAAGAACCACAAACAAAACAACCTTGGTTATTAAAAGATTGAGTGTTCTTTTTACCTTGTTTCTTCCGGTTGTTTTTGAACCGTCGGTACATCTTCCCGAATTGTTTTGCAAACAAGCTCATCTCATCTTCCGATTCACTTTCAAATTCTTCCTCCTCTTCTCGAGCTTTTAGAGATATTCCTCTCTCTCGCCTCACATTCTCGGCATCCTGTTCTTCTTGAAGTCGTAATCAGGGGCGGAGTCAGGACACTGGGCCAGACTAGGCCGGTACAAAGAATAGTTTTAGGAAAAATTTTACCCAAAATTTTTTACCTTAAAAATTAAGCCATTTTTAAAATTTGGGGTGGACCATGGCCTAGGTTGGCCCACTCCTAGCCCCGTCCATGGTGTAACTCATATGTCATGAGTGAACCAGTCAAGTCCTCGAGAGTCATGGTGGATAGGTCCCTTGCGTCTTCTATTGTTGTGGTTTTAGGCTTCCAGGCTAAGGGCAAACTCTTCATGATCTTTCTGACTTGATCTTCTACCGAGATAACCTTTCCAAGGGCTGAAAGCTCATTGATGATATTAGTAAAACGTGAAATCATATCCCTAATTGACTCTTTAGATTTCAATACGAATAATTCGTAATTACGCATAAATATGTCAATTTTAGATCTTTTTACACATGAGGTACCTTCATGAGTAACCTCGAGGAAATCCCACATTTAGTTTGCAGACTTACATCCTAGAACCCGGTTGTGTGCTTTTCCTCCCCTAGCGCTGCTTAGGGTTTTGCGCCGCCGGTAGGCTTTGCCGGTTTCCTTCTTTAATTTCGTTCGTTACTTTACCGCTTTTCTTATCATGGCAAGTTCTTCATCGCCGCTTGAAGACCTCTATTCTAAATTGAACATCGACGAGGAAGAAGATGAGGGCGTGGACGTGGGCGGTACGTATGAGACAGAGGAAACAGGGGCTCATGTGCTGACGGCGGTGGGCAGGATTCTCTCCGATCGACCGGTGAAATTTTCTTATTTTAAGGAAACGATGACCAATGTTTGGAGACCTGGGAAAGGTCTGAGTATGCGTGACCTGGGAGAGCAAAAATTTCTGGTGCAATTCTATCACGAGTATGATATTCGTAGAGTAATTGACGACGGCCCTTGGTCTTTCGACCGGAACCTACTGATTTTGAGGCGGCTCGGCTCGTTTGAAAGTCCACTCCAATGCTCCCTCACGCAAGCTGCCTTCTGGATCCAGGTACATAATATCCCGTTGAGTTTAATGACACCGAGGGTAGCAGAATTGATTGGAAATCATGTGGGTGAGTTTATTTTTGCCGATGAAGAGAATTTTAAGGGCCCTGTAAAAATTTTCATGCGTGTGCGTGTACTGCTTGATGTTAATAAGGCTTTGAAACGTCGGATGAAACTTCTTCGTGGGATGGACTGGGTGTGGGTAGACCTTCGATACGAAAGGTTGCCAACTTTTTGTTTTATTTGTGGTAAATTGGGTCATTCTGACCGCTATTGTCCAGCACATGTTGTGGGGGAGATAAGGGAGTTGGCAAAGCCGTATGGTACATGGATGCGGGCAGGTGGGCGGAGGCTTGATGGTGGAGGTAATCCATGGTCATATCCGGAACAGGGGGAGAGGGAGGGAAGAAAGAATACAGAGACGGAGGAGGGGCTGGGCGATCAAGGTGGGGAAAAGAAAAATGAGAGGGCAGGGGGTTTTGACCAGGGAGATGGAGGGGGTGTAGGGGAAAGGGACGAAGTGGGTAAAAACTGGGCAGTAGGTGGGTGTGAGCTCTCTGGAGGAGGAGAAGGGATGAGTGTGGGGGCTGGGAAAAGAAGAAGGGTGCAGGAGGAGGGATTAAAAGGCATGATGGGGCTGGAAAATAAAGAAGAAGAACGTTTGTCAAAAAACGGATGTGGGGCGGGTGCTGCTTCGCAGGCCCGCCAGAAATCATGAGTGCCCTAAGTTGGAACTGTCGGGGGCTTGGCAACCCATCGACAGTTCAGGTTCTAGTGGATATTATCCACTCTAAGAGGCCGACGATCGTTTTTCTTATGGAAACGATATCAAAAAGTGATAAAATCAATGCTGTTCAGAGGAAGTTGGGCTTTCATAATTCTTTTTGTGTTGATTGTGTGGGGCACAGCGGAGGTTTAGCTTTATTCTGGGGCGACGGGGTGGAGGTGGATATTATTGGCTCGAGCGCTCAATATATTGATACTTTTATTACACTAGAGGCAGGTGATTCTCCTTGGCGATTCACAGGTTTTTATGGGTGTCCCGAGCGTGCAAGACGGAAAGAATCTTGGAGTATATTACGACAACTCAGCTCCGTGTCAGATCTTCCTTGGCTTGTCATGGGCGACTTCAATGATATTATGTTTCAAAATGAGAAACGGGGGAGAATTCCACAACCGGGGTGGTTGATCCAGGGCTTTAGAGAAGCGGTTTGGGAAAGTGGTTTGGCTAGTTTTCCGTTCGAGGGCTATCAATTCACTTGGGAGAGGGGGAGAGGCACCTCTAATTGGGTGGAGGAAAAGCTGGATCGTATTCTCGTCTCTAGCACTTGGGAGGAATTTTTTGATGAGGCGGTGGCAGTATCTTTAGAGGGTGCGCCTAGTGATCATCTTCCTTTATTTATTAAATTCCAGCGGGGTGCTCAGGTTAATCATCGGAGACGTTTTAAATTTGAAAATATTTGGCTCCGGGAAGGAGAGTGCAGAGAGGTGGTGGAGAATAGTTGGGCTATCGGTAGAGGTGGGGGCATTTTGAAGCAAGTGGAGATTTGTGGGAAGGAGATCGGTAGATGGGGGGCTGCCAGAAATAAAGGGATAGGAGCTCGAATTGATTTTTGCAGACGGCGACTTCAGTACCTTCGGGGCAGAAATGATGATTTTTGTGTGGGCGAATTCTGTAAAGTCAGGTGTGAATATCTTGAACTACTTGAGAGGCAGCAACGTTTTTTGCAGCAACGGGCAAAAGTGTATTGGCTACAGGAAGGGGATTCAAACACTAAATTTTTTCATAACGCTGTCAAGCAGAGAAGAAGGAAAAATAAAGTGGAGGGTTTTAGGATGGAGGGGGGAAGATGGGAGAAAGATAGGAAGGAGATTGGGCGCATCGTGGAGGATTATTTTACTAATATTTTTTCTTCTGTGCAGGGAATTTCGGAACCTATTATCTATAGTATTGAACATAAAGTTACAGATGTTCAAAATTGTCAGCTCTTGCTTCCCTTACGCATGGAGGAGGTGAAGGAAGCCCTTTTCTCTATGCACCCAGACAAATCTCCAGGCCCTGACGGGATGAGCCCAGGTTTTTACCAGCATTTTTGGGATCTTGTGGGGCAGGATGTGACGGCCTTTTGCCAGCAAATGTTTAGTACCGGTTTTATTCCTGAAGGATTAAATCATACCAATATTATTTTAATTCCTAAAAAGACAGGCCTGAAACTATGGCTGATTGGAGACCAATTTCTCTGTGTAATGTCTTGTTTAGAATTTTTTCAAAAGTTCTGGCTAATAGATTGAAGAAGTTTTTGGGTTACATGATCTCTCACAATCAGAGTGCTTTTGTTCCCGGAAGATCAATAGTTGACAATATAATGATTGCTTTTGAGGCTCACCATTATCTTAAACGTAAAAGACAGGGCATTGATGGCTACATTGCCCTCAAACTTGATATGAGCAAAGCCTACGATCGAATTGAATGGAATTTTCTGGAGGCGGTCCTTGCTAGACTCGGCTTTGATGGCAGATGGGTCTCCATGATTATGCAATCGGTGAAAACGGTGACCTATTCTATTCCTTTTGATGGGTCTGAATTGGGACCTGTGATACCACATAGGGGTCTCAGACAGGGAGACCCACTCTCTCCTTATTTGTTTATCCTTGTAGCGGAGGGACTGAGCGCTCGTTTGAGACAAGAAGAGGCAGCGGGTAGACTACATGGTGTGTGTGTAGCTAGAGGAGCTCCCCGTATTTCACACTTACTATTTGCAGATGATTGTTTTTTATTCTTTAAGGCTTCTCATGATGAATGCTCAATTGTCAAGACAGTTCTAGAAGATTATGAGGTGGCTTCAGGTCAGGTTATTAATTATAATAAATCAACCATCTCCTTTAGCGCAAACATCAGTTCTGACCGGCGGGAGGGTTATCGGGAGATGTTCAGCGTTCAACCGATGGAAACAGGGGCTAAATATCTTGGGCTTCCCTCTCTTGTAGGTAGAAGCAAAAGGGAAGTTCTGGCTTTCATAAAAGAAAGGATTGTTAAGCGGATTAGTTGTTGGAATCACAAATTTTTGTCTAGAGCTGGGCGTGAGGTTCTAATCAAAACAGTTCTTCAGGCCATGCCGAGTTATGCCATGAATGTCTTCCTTTTTCCTAAAGATATGTGTACTGAGATCGAGAGAATCATGAATGGGTTTTGGTGGAAAGGGCATTCTAGTACAGGAATTCGGTGGACAGATTGGGAAAGATTGTGTGTCCCAAAAAAATATGGGGGGATGGGTTTCAGAAGGCTCCATGATTTTAATCTTGTTATGCTGGGAAAACAGGTGTGGAGACTACTGACAGCACCAGATTCGTTGCTCTCCAAGGTGTTTAAGGCCAGGTATTTTCCCCGATCTTCTTTCATAGAGGCGAAAATTGGAGGATCTCCATCCTTCATTTGGAGGAGCATCATGGAAGCAAAACCTGCCATTATTAATAATTTCAGATGGCGCATAGGAAATGGCAAGTCAGTGAATATCTGGAGGGATCCTTGGCTTCCGGATAGATCTTACCCTAAGCCTGTTTCTCAGGTTATTCAGGGGTTAGAGGAGACTAAAGTGGAGGGCCTGATTTCAAATGGAAATCGAGAATGGGATAGGGACCTAGTTTTTGAATTGTTCAATCCGCGGGATATGAGCCTTATTTTGGGGTTACCTTTGAGCCAGAGGGATGTGCCAGACCGGATTTTTTGGCCTTTGGAAGACAAGGGTAATTTCTCGGTTAAAAGTTGTTACCGTGCTCTTGTTGGGGAGGTTAATAGCTCAGGGCATAAAGTCAATTGGACTAGCATGTGGAAATTTGATATTCCCCCGAAGGTGAAGTCTTTCTTCTGGCAAACGTGTGCGGGCCATCTTCCTACCGCGGATAAGCTTTTGAAACGGAGGGTGGCTTGTCAGTCAATATGCCCGGTGTGTTCACAGGAGGAGGAGACCCTCTTACATATTTTCGGGTCATGTCACAAAGCATTACAAGTTTGGAGCTTCTCACGGTGGCATATCCCGGTTAGTGCAGGAACTTCTTTTAATGAATGGGTGGAGCATGTTTTTCGCACCAGAGATGTAGAACAGTGTAGTTTATTTGTCATGCTTCTATGGAGCATTTGGAAGGCTAGGAATGTCAAAGTCTGGGAGCAGAAGGAGGTGACAGTGGAAGGCATTGTGTCTGAAGCCAAGGCTTTTTGGGAAGGTTGGCGTAGAGCTCAGGAGGGTGTTTTTCGGACAAGCCAACAACATGGAGGTGTGATGAGCTGGAAACGACCGGAGGAGGGCCGTTTGAAGCTTAATACAGATGCTTCGGTTTTGCCTGGTAATATTAGCGGGTTGGGCTGGGTTGTTCGCGATAGTGGAGGTTTTTTTGTCGCAGGAGGTGTGAATACTTGTCACGGATGTTCCCCAGCGGTGGCCGAAGCTCTATCCATAAGAGAGGCACTAAGCTGGTTGAAACAACAGGGATGGGATAATATTGATGTTGAATCAGACTCTATTCAGATTATTAGCAGAATCAAATCGGGGTCAGATGACTCCTTACCAGGATTAATTGTGGAAGATATTAGAGATATTTCTTCTGGCTTTACCAGCATTTCCTTTTCTCACGTGAAGCGGTCTGCGAATCGAGTGGCCCATGATCTTGCTCGGGCTGCTGTTTCTATGTCTGATCGCTATATTTGGATCTATACTAATCCTCCTTGTATTACTTATTCTTTGGACCATGACTTTATTAATAATAATTAACTAGTTTCCTTTCAAAAAAAAAAAAAAGAACCCGGTTGTGTTCGGCAGGACCAAGTCCACAAATCAAGTATTTAAGAGCTTGGGCATTATGCTCGAGTTTTTTTATAATCATCAATAGTAAATTCAGCCTTAGGTTTAGGAACAACCTTACCTTTGCCGTTTAGCTTTGTGATAACATTATCGCCACTTTCTATCACATTCCATACCTGATAATTCTCGGCCTTGATAAAGTTCTCCATTCGACTTTTCCAGAACTGATAGTATTTGCCATTGAACAATGGTGGTCGTTGAGTCGAGTACCCTTCTTCCAATCGATCAACCGTATTCATTTTGCCGGATCTCTTCCCAAGGCATTAACCTCTATGTGGTGAAGTCCGGCTCTGATACCAATTGATGAAACGGTTAACAACACAAAGGGGGGGGGTGAATTGTGCGTGTGTGTGTGGAACTGTGGCAGTTTTTCGCTAAGTTCTAGTGTGGGGTATAGGAAATTGCGAAATAGTAAAGTGCACAAGGATTTAACTTGGAAAAATCCCTTGGCTCAAAGGGATTAAAAAACCTCGACTTCCCTCGGAAGAATTTTAACAAATTTACTAAAAAGCCTTTGAATGATTACAAGGGAAACTCTCTTAGTCTACCCTTGAGTCACCCCAACCTATCCTCTCTAGGAAGAGTTACGCTTCTCAACCTTGCGGGTAGAGAGCCTCTCAGCTTGACAACAAAGCTCTCACAACACACAAACCAACCCAAGGATGCTACACTTAGCCAATCCTCAAAACCCCATTACAATATGAAGAAGGGAAAGTAGAAACTATATCTAGAACTCTGGGTGAGTAGTTTCAGGTGCCTTGAACTTCAATATTTCTTTTATGAATATATCTCTCGATGTATATCCCGATCAAGCACACCTTTCTTCTTCTTGATCTCCGCATATATAAGTTGTTTGGAGACAGTCCGTTGTGGCTTCCTTCCTTCTATAAGATGATTGAGTTTCCAAATGTGGAACTTACCTTGTTATAATTTGAAAAACCTTCCTTCTAAAAAGATTCTTCTTTTATGAACTCATGCATAAGTTAATCAAGTATTATTCACAAGAATAGATATCATCGTATACATAGAGGGAAGTAATATATTTACTTAGCATATGTAAGCATGCCACGGACCAATCATATGTGAATCATATTTAAAGCAAAGAGGTAATATCAAGAATCGTATATCATAAGAGCAAATTACCCACTTAACAAATGTACGGACCATTATTTAAATCATGCACTCATATTTAAGCAAGCAAGGATCCTTTCCATAAAGTATTAAGCTATAATAATAAGTGGATGTCAAGTCATGCATGAAAAGAGAATAAGTAATTCATGTTACCTACATGCATGAAAATATTCTAACTTAAAATAGTGATCTTGAGTCGTTCTTGACAAGTAGATGACTTATTAACACAAGTGGTCACATAAGCAAAGTATTACCAATTAATTCATACATCCGTACAAGGAAAGCACTTATTAATTAAATCATACACCAAGTAAATCAACCGTTCACACATAACAGAACTAGGAATAGTTCTGTCTTCGGTTTCGTATGGATCTGAGGGCGGTTTTGTCCGCCGTTCCACCTGCAGGGTTAGTCATCAATAAAACTACATACTCAACATATTCTTTCCTTTGAGATCGGTCTTCTTAAATGGGCAAGATCATAACTTGATGTATTATCTTTAATAGCTCGGATCTCCATATATATTTCAGTCCTTTTGCATGGAAATTATTCAAAAAATATTTCCTTATAGGTATTAAAATATATTCTTTATATTTGTGTGAAGGAAATCATTTTTCTTAAGAAAACATTCCTTGTGAGAGGAGATGCACGAAAATCCTTTTTGAATTTTGAATAATACCATTTATTTTGGAAACTTGCTTTGTAGAAAGATCTCTTAATCAATGTCTTTTATTTAAATAATTTTCCTTTAAAGAAAAAATTCTTTCTTTGTATGATCATTGATTATTTCCTTACTAAAAAATTCTCTTTAATTTAGCAAGACAAAACCGAACTTAGATGGAGAGAAAATATATTTTAAGTAAGCCAGATTATTCAATCATGGATTCGCAGTGCAGTTCTCGGACCAGTTCTATGGCTTGTTCCAGAGCACGATTTAAACTATTTTCCTGCAATCACTTATAACCAAAAGTAACACTAGTTGTTTGTCATCAACAAAACAAACGTTCCAACACTCACCAAGGAAAATTAGCAATTAAAGTTCAATTAATTAAAGTGAACCCATGCCTACAATGCAATCCTCAAAAGTATCAAATTCTTAAAAAGTGATTGCTCTTATCCCATTTGGGGCATAGGAATAGTGCAAAAAGTGCTCCTACTAAAACTCTCTAAGCTTAACAAATTAATCCCTTTTTTCCCTAAACACCAAGATTATGTCAGAATTATTCACGGGTAAGGAAGCACGTGCCATTTGGCTATGAAGCTCAATTAATCGGGTAAAGAACAAAACGGTCAGGCTCAAAGTGGCTTTTCCTAAAGGACTTATTCAATTAAGATGGAGGATTTATGAATTTAATGGGTGACTAATGTCTTCATCCTCGCAACAACTAGGTTATAGTGCAAGCAATTTAAGCCTAAACACTTCAAAGATGTTCTAAAAGCATAGTCAAACGCTAGCCAGCTCACAAAGACACAGTTTAAATAAAAAATTTCAAAAATTTTGACATGACTTTCCTATGAGTATACAACTAACACCTGCACATTCTAACCCTAATAATCTCATGTAACAACTACTGCCCAAATGCCCAATTCGCTTCCCACACTTAAACTTTGGCATCACCCTCTATGACCAAAAATGCACAATGCACCATGGGGGAAAGGGGGAAAGGGTCACGCGTGCTCAACTCAACTCAAGTCAACATTACAAACAAGCTAAAAGAATGGTCATGGAAACTTCCCTAGGGCCGTTGGTCGCTGCAGAACGAAACTGAGTCAATGTAAACCGTGGCGCATCATCCCAAAAGCACGCTCTGAGCTGCAAAAACAAAGCACAAATACAAAAACCCATACAGAACACCCTGGTTTTTTTTTGTGGTTTTCGGGGGTTTTCTGAAAGCAATCAAACAAAAACAAAAGTGCAGAAAAACTTGGGTTGTCTCCCAAGAAGCGCTATTTTTAACGTCGTTTACCCGACGTAAATACCCCACTTAGAACTCAAATAAACACACTTCCATTCGGAAAACTCATTCTGCACATATCAAAACTCTTATCAACAACCGCCCTGAGATGGGACCTTAAATTCATGAAACCAATTGCGCATCTCAGGATCACAAGTAAAGCAAAAGAGTGGGTCTAGGCCTTTATCAGAACCTGTGTCTAATAATGGGTCAAAATCAGTCTTTTTAAGAGGTGGAGGTTTCCCTCCATCCTCTCCTGAGGTTCCTCGACATCAAGAAAAAAAACTCATTTATTAATTGACAAGACGGTTTTGACAATTTGGCCATGCAAAAGGTAGGGGTGGTTCGGTACGGTATACCTTATATTTTTTCTCATACCTTTGCCGTACCAAAACTTTCGGTATGCAAAATTTGCATACCTTTACCTTACCGAAGTTTCGGTATACCGCATTTCGGTATACCGAAGTTTCGGTTCGGTAACGGTAAGGTATCGGTAAATTACCGTGCATGTCTCCCAATACAAAAAATTATCATAGACTAACGAAATATACTAAATCGTTATAACTAGCGACATATTAAATCTATTATTAAAATGTTACGAAATATAATCAATAATCTATTGATGTCAATTCAATATTGAACAATAATTATTATTAGTATATTTAAGCAGATCAACATACCACATATTAAAAAGTAACACATTCTCCTAAAATAACTTGAACAATATAGATATAATTAAATCAATAGTGATCTCTAACAAAAATAAATAAAACTATTCAAACAACATGGATATAAAATCATTTATTCCTAATATGATATTGTGTATTTAGTCATTTTTATAATGTTTTTAAAATTGAATAAGACTTTCGGACAAAGTTGTGTGTCTTGACTCGCTGAATCCCTATGTAGATACACTTGTCACATAAGTGTATCTATCTTCACTCGTCAGCTACTTAGCGGCCCAACCATCACGACTTGCAAGCTCTTGGAACAAGATGGACTTGTTTCTTGACATTTGTGCATTACTCATTAGTCATTTAAGGTTAGCGTAGTAGAAGCTATAATGTTATAATGGGTTTGAGAAATTGGGCCTTTCTTTTTGTATTTTTGTATTTGTAACCAACTTAAGTATTAATTTTGGGCTTCAAAATTGTAATGGATTTCTACAATATATTAGAATTAAAAGTAATTGTTGAGTAGGGAGTCGGTACGGTATTATTCCGGTATACCGCGGTATTTGAAAACATTTACCGTTATCATACCGAAATAGACCGGTACGGTATGATACCGTACCGAAAATGACGGTATACCAATATTTCGGTATTTTCCGGTATTTTTCGGTACGGTAAGTGCGGTATACCGATATTTCGGTATTTTTGCCCACCCCTAGCAAAAGGTGACTTTCTCCTGCCCAACTCTCAAAATTAATTTCGCATCCCCAACATCTATAAGGACCCGAGCAGTGGTCAGAAAAGGCCTTCCAAGAATTAAAGGCACCTTAAGATCTTGGGGCATGTCTAAGACAACGAAATCAACCGGGATCACGAATTTGTCCACTCTAACCAACACGTCTTCCGCAATCCCCTGGGCATATATAACTGATCGGTCAGCTAGTTGTATGCACATACGTGTTGATTTAAGTGGATCGAGTGAAAGTTTCTCAAACAAGGAATAAGGCCTCCAATAAATGATTGCACCCAAATCAGCTAGGGCATTATAACAAATCTCACTTCCTATGGAGCAAGGGATAGTGAACTTACCTAGGTCCTTCAGCTTTTTCGGCATCTCTTTT